TTATATTAAAGGCTATACTATCACGCAATGGAAATGTTCTTCACATATTTTGTAATAATTCCCCGCCTTATTGAAGTTGTTGAGCCGTCTACACTGATCTGAGTAACTCCATTGACGATAAAGTTCCTGGTGCAGCCAAAGGGGCCTAATCAATCACAGGCCAATAACAAGACTCCAATGGGCCCCGGGTTCTTTTAGGAATCTCATAATGGGTGCATATTGATTCATGGAATGCATCTTTAGCCATATTATTATGCAATTTAATAGTATATTTTAGGCTCAATTTGGATTGCCAATTACTGACGAATAAGCTCGTTCTCTCCACCACCTGTTCATGAGTGGAAAAGGTCATTACTTGGTCGGCTATCTTTATTAATGTCTAAGGGCCATTTCTCACTCATCTTGTACTATCAAGATTTATAAAAGATGTTTTTGTGATGGAGGTCACTTTTAGATTGAGGTGGCAAAGGCATTGTATTTTCTCTTACAAACAATGTGGTGGCATCTTAATATGATATTGCCCTTTTTTTTTTATATGTACAAGGTTGCAATTTTAAACAATCCATGTAAGGTGCACCTGTAAATTTTATTATAAGATGTAATTATGGTGTAAAACGTTATTAGGATGGCCATATAATCTATTTACATCCTTAATTATGAATTTTTAAACTTCAAAAAAAACAAATTGAATGAAGTAGAGCTATAAATGCATGCAAATCTTGAAAATGGACCGTCTAGATAATGTGTTGCCAGATGCACTATTATTGAGACTTAAAATATTTATTTTTTCATATATTTATGCATCTCGATGTCGAGATGATCAATTACAAGGCTTTCCAATATCAAAGCAATATTTTCTGATGGATGTTTGAAGTACACCTTAATTTTATATTTTAAAGTTGTGACCTTTTATAAACTTTTTCCTTTTATTATTATAATTATTTTGTTTTATTGTTTTATTTTTTTCTTAACAAAAGAATAACTTGATTAGAACCTTGGCCCATAGACCCAGAGAGAGAGAGAGAGAGAGAGAAAGAGAGATCTGGGTTTGTATTACTCTATCTTGGTTGTGACAAAAAAAATCAATCGAACATATTTCCAATATAAATATGACAAATACATACACATACCAACATGAGGATATGATAAGGTTAGGAACAACCACAATCAACCATGAAATACAAAGCGTAATGAAAAACATAGAAATCAGACAGGAGCAGTTACTGACACAGATACATGTGCCCAAGGCTACCCAAATGAACACAAACTCAAGGCATAGAAACCATACAAAGTGCAATTAAACTCCCCTACAAGAGGGCTATGAGAATATAAAAGCATAAATGGGCCAATCCACAGGTAGAACCTGGCCAATGAGAAACTGGCAGGTAGCGCTCTCAAGGCTTTACAAGAATGCCCCCAACGGCTCTAAAATGCCTTAGGGATTCAGTTGCTCGGTAAGAGATAAGTAGAAAAGGTCTTCAGAGGGTTGCATGTCTAATAGGTCGCAAGCTGCTAGGCAAGCATTGGCACCGAGCAACGACAGAACAACAGCATTGCTAATCAGAGAGAAACCTTGTGGGAAGCCATGGCTAAAGAGAGGAGAGACAAGGGCTAGAGAGAGAGAGGAAGGAGAGACAAGGAGTAGAGAGAGATGCGAAGAAATTAGTGGTGAACAAAGGACGGGGATGGGGGTTCCTTATATAAGAGGGAGAGGGAGATGTTTAGAAGAGAACCAGAAAAGTATTTGCCATGGTGGTTGGCTTCCAAATGTATTCGTGGTGAGACATTTAATTAAGGGAAAAGTTTATGTAAGGTTGCAACCTTAAAATGTAAAATTACGTACTCACTTTAAAAATCCATCGGAAACTTTATTTTAATGTTGAAAAACCCTCTATTTGATCATCATGACATCGACATATATGAATATAAAAAAAAAAAAAAATTTGAGTATCAGTGATAGTGTATCTTGCAACACATTATCTAGGCCATCCATTTTCAATATTTTCATAAATCTCCTTTATTTTAACTTTTTTAGAGTTTAAAATCTTCTAATTAGATATGAAAATAGATTTTAAGAGAATCTTAAAAAACATTTTCAACTAAATTACATGTTATGATTAAATTTAAAAATATGCTTTAATTGGACTCTTTAAGGTTACAACCTTATAGAAACCCCACCCCTTAATTAATCCTCCCATCTACCATCTCTACGTTTTCTCTCTCTCTAAACACACGTCTTTTTTTCTGTTTTCTCTCACTAAAAACGCAATCTGTGTAGATGCGAAAACGTGCATGCCATCTTCTACACAATTTCCACTGATAAGGACATCAGGCACGTCTTGGAAGATGAATTGGATTCCCAAAATCTCTTTGATTATATGCTCCTGCAGGAACGCATTGTTCATTTATCCCATTATTAAAATCCATCTAGGAGTATTTTTACAACCCTAAATTATGCCAAAGTAATTTCCTTGGAATGGTGACCAACCCAGGAAAAAAGACAAAGA